CACCGATTTTGGAATTGTAAACAAGTCGAGAAATAGGAATTTATCCTGCGTTGAATGAATTCAGATAATAAAGGACCTGTGAGGCTCCTGAGTACTATTAAGCTAAGAAGCTGATTGCGTAAACAAGACCAGTTGTTGAAAAAATAATTAAAAAAAGGATAATTACAATTAATGACTAAAAGTTAAGAACTCCTTTCCTCCTAAGCAGTTTGAAAGTCGGAATTGTTAGAAACAACCAAGGTGGCGGGAATAGACGAGATACCAAAAGAGACGGAGAAATTATCTCCTCCCATTTGGAAGTAATGGTGTGAGGCATAAATAAGAGGAGGAATGAGCCATGTGGGAGGGCCAGTACCTGCAACGAATACCCGTAAGAAGAGGGGATCTCCCTAATTTGGAGAGATAATTAATATTACGAATCAAACAACAAAGAACGTTTGTTTAAATCAATAGAGAAACCTCAGGAAACCCCAAATTCCCAAGCGCCATCAGCTCCCACTGCGATTTTAAGTCAATATAAACAGAACGCTTGAGTGAGCCAGGCTGTTAGTGATAGGCAGACACAGACGATTAGACCCACGTGAATTTCTGCCAAGAGAATTCCTGACTTTGAGTCCTGTTCCAAGAATTCGCACCGATAGGCAAAGTGTTACTAAAGAGATTTTAGTAGGCAGGGTTAATTTTTGTTTTACCAACAACTACATAAAACAAAATCGAAAATAGACCCCAAGACTTTTCGTTTTTATTTTTGTCTGCAAAGACATTTCTATTTTTTTTCCATCTTAGCTACGATTACTGGCATTAATCGATCCCTACCAGCTCTGTCATTAAGAAACACAACGTGGGCGGAGCAAGATGTGGACTAAAGTGGAGAGCGCCCAACGACCCACAACAGTATCGAACATTGCGGGATTGACCCTGCAATTAACGCGTCCTCCTACGACCCTGAGGGCCAAGACATCTTCTGGTATAGGCGGCGTGTGGCAAGGGTCAGAACGCTTGGTCACTGCTGACCAGGCTGAGCCAGAATTGACATATGGTCCGGTGCTTCTGCTATATATTTAAAGATTCTTGACAAAAAGAATCAGCAATAGTATTGGTCCTGACCCGACATCTCGGATTCAGTCACTTCCCCACCGAAATAAAGTTGCTTTGCTGCACCATTTTTATAAATACTTTCTTGGTAATTGTTCAAATGAGCTCTTCGCTATAGTACCTAGTCTTTATGAATTTAAGCGAAGTACTAAATTGGCGCCAAACTCTCATTAATTTACACTTGACTTGGTTAGATGTAACAGTAAGTTCTATGTCAACAGTTTCTTTTCTCGTACTTCACTCTTGTGGAACTTCCTTCTGGCTCCATTGTTTCCAGCCAAATTTGATTTTCAAAAATTTAAAGCAATGTCAATCGTTATCTACTGTCTTCTTGTTTACATTTCTGTTGTTCTCGCCCCTAATATTTTAATATTCTCTCTCTCTTCAATGTTTTCTTGGTCTTCTTTAACTCTTAGTAACCCTTTTGTGTCTTAGTGGCTTTATCGCCTTGCTTGGGGGTAAAATGATTTTTTAAAGAAGTTCAAATTTACCGAATTTTGGAATAGCACCAAAAGTGTGTGTCTGTGTGTGTCTACATATGTGTATATATATATATATATATATATATATATATAAATCGGTGGAGAACTTGGAGAGGGGAATTAACAGGAGATAACTGATAACTGACATACATTAGACATCGCACGTGGAACTAGAACAGTCTACACCAGTGAGCGAAATAAAGGTTCAGTTCGACATTCCAACCACCTGAAGAAGGTCGGAGCGTACAACGGCCGAAACGTTGTGATACATATGGCAACAAAGATGAGGATGATAGTCCGAATAATGTAAATAGAAAGAAATAGATATAGCGAAAGAAAGAAAAAAATATTGACATAGATAGATAGATAGAGAGAGAGAGAGAGAGAGGGTATGTTTATAGATTTATACACAAAAAGATAGTATAACTTTAGACACATTAATAAAAATATAAATCGTCCCTCTCTCTCTTTCTCACTCTCTCTCTATCTCTCTCTCTCCCTCTCTCTCTCTCTCTCTCTATATATATATATATATATATATATCTTTCTGCCGATATATCTCTTTTCTCTATCTTTTTCTTTCTTTTTTACATCTGCCTTTCTTTATCCCGCACTCTATTTTCCCTATATATGTTCTCGCTTTTTCTATCTCTTTTGTCACTAATTTCTATCGCTTTCCTTCTTTCCTTTTTTCTTTCTTTCCTTTTTTTTTTATTTCATTCTTTCTATCGTTATGTCTGTCTGTGTTTGTTTCTTTCTTTCTTTCTTTGTTTCACCATCTCCTTTTTGCTTGTTACTGCCATGAATACCTCCAAATTGCAAGCAAATATCTTGACTTCGTAAATACTTGTGGTAATGCATTTATAAACGCCTTATCTCCGAATGTTATCGTAACAGCCCGAAATGATAGATGAACTCATTAGCATTCAGGCGCACGCGCGCGCGTGTGTGTATGTTTTGTCAGAGTGAAAATGTACTTATTCATTGCATGTTTTGGATGGTGATAGTTGATTCAGCCGATTTTTATATATCTGGAATTAAAGTATTAAAAATATTGCCTGATAAATCTCATCCTTTTGTTTCTCATTGATGCTGGCTGAATATCTATAGAAGAGGTTAAGCTTAGGACGATGGCGTTGGGGAGACTAGTTTTCGTTCATGAAATAAATGGTAATGTTAATGGTAATATTAGCCGTTTCCTTATAAGGAAACATTCGGCATTCATTGACCAAACAACCAGTGTTACTGTTGATTGAAATTTATAAAATCTCTCCATTAAAGCAATTTTTTCAAAAAGTAGTTTTCTCAAGTCCAGTAACTGTTATTGCTCTTTTCATAACTGGTGAGGAAGGTGCTCGCCTCCTAACCTTCTTTCTGGAGCAATGTGTAAATTTCGTATGTGTCGATATCGTTGAGTAGTGAGTTAATTTTTCTATGCATGTATTTTTGTTCATGATCAAAATCCCCGCTCCTTTGTCAGAGGGGGTGGTGATTGTTTCTTTATTTCTCGCATTCTGAGGTGAATGTATTTTCGTTGTTGGTTTCTATAGTTGCAGAAATGCCTTGAATAAAACCTTTGGTCAATATGGAGTCGTTTTGTTTATGATTTTTTAGTATAGTGTCTATTATGTCTCCTTTGCGGATTCTAGTGACAGAGTTTAAACCGAAGCTGAGGGTATCTTGTCCTGTATTGGAAACCTTTATATCCAATATTTATTCTATGAGATTAGACGTTCCAACGTATTTCCCCATGCTGTTGCTGCTTAGGTTGTTGAGTTTTTGTCTCAGTTTGTTGTTTTGATTGTCACTCATTTGGGTGATCGTTTGGCGTAGTTGAGATATTTCCGGCGTTGTTACAACGTTTTTCTTGTGTAGTTGCAGTTCTATCTTTTTAGGGATTAGTTTTTTTCAACACTTCTACTTCTTTGGCAGATGCTTTTAGGAAATCTCTATAACAACAGTTTAAAACATGGTATCCACCGGAAATCAACCAACAAAACAACCTAATAAATTTCTATTCTCATCATAACAACAAAATAAAATCCGGCATAATCATCGGATTCTACTTAAGAGCATTCAGAATATGCAGCCCTCATTATTTACACGAATGACAGAAATACATTGAAAACACTTTCAATCTTCTCGAGTACCCAAATTATTTTATATTCAAGGCGAAACAAAAAACCCATAAAATATTCCAAAACAAAAACGGCCCCTCCTGAAAAATCCATTGGATCCAAAAAATATATTATCCTAACAACTAACTCTATCATATCTACAATAAAAATAATCTATTTAAAATCAACATAAAATGTGTTCCTACTACATCCCAAACCATAAAAGTCTTAGTCAATACTAAGCAAAACAATAAGCTAAAACCTGAAGGAGGAATTTACTCCATCGCCTCTAATAATCGTCACAAAAGATACATAGGAGAAGCCTTAATGAAGCTAAATAAAAGTTTATATGAACACAAAGGGGAGATTTTACAAAACAATATGTCAAATGCGTTGGTTGCCTACCGCAACGAGACTGGCCACAATTTTGACATAAAAAACACTACTCTGATCAAATGAAAAAACAATTCTCTACGACGTAAATGTTTAGAGAGTGTTTTGTAATTTACTGTAGATGACAAGGACATCTACAGTAAATTTATGACCTGTCTCTTATAACATTTTATTTTATATAAATTATATACAACATTTTTATATTATATTATATATATATATATATATATATATATATATATATATATATATATATATATATATATATATATATTAGTGGAAAATATACATACATATGCAAAATATATATAAAAATTCCCATACATGTATATTTTCAGAAAAAATTTTCAAGAGGAAGGATCCAGGTAGAACTCAATGTCTAGGACAGAGATAGGATATAATAAAAGGCTTAAACACTAGTGTTAGGAGGCGAGCACCTTCCTCACCAGTAATGAAAAGAGCAATAACAGTTACTGGACTTGAGAAAACTACTTTTTTGAAAAAATTGCTTTAATGGAGAGATTTTATAAATTTCGGGCTGTTACGATAACTAGTGTTTAAGCCTTTTATTATATATATATATATATATATATATATATATATATATATATATATATATATATATATATATATATATATATATCGCAGATATAATGCTAGTGTTAATAAAACAGTGCTCGATGAAATACAACAGAATTGTTAAGTACATAATAATAAATATACATATTATCCCTTACCGATAGCACGAGTCGGAGTTTTAAGCAGAAAACAATCCTCGGGTGCTGAATATACCCTCAACACCTGAAGATTGCATTGTGCATCAAACACCAAGTCGTGCTACATATATATATATATATGAAGAGAGATAGAAAGAAAGAGAGGGAAACATAGAGATAGAGATAAACAGAGTAACTTACGGCCATATCACGTTTAAACATCGGTTCTCGTACGATCATCGATGTTAAGTAACGTAGAACCTAGTCAGTACCGAGATGGGTAACCGCTTGGGTATATCAGGTGCTGTAAACTTGGATGTGCGGCTGGTGTAATGGATGACGGCTCGGAATTGGAAATCTGAGAACCGAGTTTCTGGGAAAGTGATGAATTCACCTCTTCTCCCTCCCCCGGCTATGGGTTAATTAGTAGGACTTGTATCAGTAATTCATTATTATCTCACAGAAATCCTTGCAATCTAAAAATATTTACTGACTTTAAATAGCCTGCAAAATGTCCGTATGCTATAACAAAACAAATCAATCAATCAATCAATTAATCAATATATATATATATATATATATATATATATATATATGTATGTATGTATGTATGTATATATATATATATATACTAACTACTAAATAAACGATCAGAACACACTCAAAAATTTTACTACGTTACTTAAAAATGCAAAACTGTGAACGAACAAAAATAATCAAATAAATAAAATAAAATAAAATAAATTAATCCAAAAGAATAAATAAGTAAATAAAATAAGTAAATAATAAACAAATTAACAAACCACATACCCACAAATAAACACAAGAAAACGTAGTAATAACAACCGACAATAAAATAATCAATAATAAATAATAAAGCTACAACTTTATAACAAGCGCCAGAACTGCATTCGGATCCACAATTATTCCCACTTAATAGTCCCTAGAATAATTCCTGACACAACGTTACCGCCCAATAAAATAACCGTTAGAATAATACAGTAGATGAATCACAGTACAATACTGATCTGTATATATAGATAGTCGAGCAAAAAACAACGCATATAGCCTGACGATTGCGTTTATCATGAAAACAGACTGTCACCTTTAGGTGTTAATTTCAATGTCCTCTTTTATATTTACATACGATCTATTCCTGATATTAAGCACTTTATAGATGATGTATTTTATTATATATATATATATATATATATATAATAAATCATAAATATATATATATATATATATACATATATATATATATATATATATATATATATAGTGTGTGTGTGTGTGTAAGTGTGTGTATGTGTGTGTTTGTGTGTGTAAGTGTGAGAAAGAGAGGGGTTTCATAAAATCAATACGGGATAATAGTTTCGTTTAACTGATCATATATATTAGGTTGAGCCATAAATAATTTTCGTATTTCATTCTTAACTTTATTCTTAAAATATATAGTACAATTACATTTTATACAATTATATATTCAGCATTATTTGCAATGATTTCTTGACACCCATCAGCTTTTCGATACCCTTTGGGTAAAGGTTTTGATGTGGAAAAAATTTCGGCGAGTTCTTGAATCAGGGTTTTCATTAGAGAGAAAGCTTTCAGTCCCCCCCCCCCCGATCAAAGCGGTATACAGCGATCGAAAAAAACGTAATGACCGGTTGTTGTAAGGTCAGAAGAATAAGGAGTGTCAGGTAGAATAGATAAATCGAGTTCCAATTTTTTTTTTCTGTGCTATTTTTACTGTACACGTGATTGCGTTGTCATGGGAGTGGTTAACATTTTTTTCTCGTGACAAGCTTTTCGATCAACCATTTATGAACACGCTGCGGCTGCTGAACATATAAATGTGCATTTACTGTTCCATTTTATTTAAAAGCGATAAATTAATGATACCATAACAATCCGACCACATGTACAACATTACCTTTCTTCTATGGGAATCAGCATTTAGGGTCAGTTAAAGAGATCCTTGTTAATACACTGCGTTTTGTGTTGAACATTATCGTAGTTTTCTATTCTTCAAAATAAATTCTTCACTGCGACGTATGATTCGTAGTCATAATGATACATTAGACATTACAAATGGATACCAGTTAATCCAGCACTGTTTGTCCCTATGTTTGAGTGCAAGGCTGGTGCAAGGTTTTGGTGCCCCTGCTCGAATCTGTGTTACTCCGAATCTATGACACGGGGCCCCACTCCACTATATCTCAATTTTCATAAGGTAGTATTCATATAAAATACAAATTTTATTGTAACTTAATTATGTACAATAATGGATCGTATACAATATAGATGAACAATTCAAATAAAAAAAATGAAAATAAATGAAGCGTATCTAAATACGAACTAGAAACATGTCATAATAGATCATTCCATCTTAAACCAACAATGTTTTGCGGCAACTCTGAACATCAACTTGAGATTTTGTTAATAAGTCGAAGAAATTTAACATTAACAGTCAACATTAAGGATAAATAATAGTGAATTTTATATAGTGTTATAAGACACATATATGAGATATAAGACTTCACAGATTTGGACGAAAAAATAACAGAATGACGTCAAAATCCGCGAAAATTTATTATCCTTTAATAGTCAGTTGTGTTTAGTTTAATTTGTATAATTGTAGGTAGAAAAAAAGCAAATGTTGATAAGGTAGCGAAGGTCACAAAGCACTGCCCGGAGGCCCCAATCAGGCTTACCTCTTCCGGTCGAGAGATTCAGGCTTAGTACACACCGGCCCTGTCTGGGAGTATGTGTCTATTTTTATGATTGGCGTTTGGGTTAGAGTTTATCGTTAGGTTTACATTTATTTAGTTATTATTTTTATTTTATTTATTTATTTTAGGTTATAAATTTTCCAAGAATTGGTTCGCAAAGAATACTGCCCAAAAAGTCAGTTTCAAAAGCCTTTACATCATTTCGTTAAGAGCTTTCTTCATTGGTACCGCAAACTTCACGAATTCAATCGCAATACCAGATTGGCAGCTAGGTCTCATCATTTTACTAATTAGAGATTTCTAAATGTAAGCGTAAATTCTATGCCAACGGGTTTATCTTTTTTATCTCGCACACCTTGCGTGTTGAACTCACTTCCGGCTTCTTGCTTTCCCGCCAACTACGATCTTCAAAAATTTAAATGCAACGTCAAGTAGCCATATTGCCTCCCTGAACCTTTATATATTATTATCCTCTTTCTCCTGAACATTTTCCTCGGTTTCTTTTATTCTCAGAACCTCTTCGTGTTTTAGTGGCTTTATCGCCTTGCTTGGAGTAAAATGATTTTAAAAAAATTCAACCTCACCGAAATTTAGGGTAGCACAAAATTGTGTGTGTGTGTGTGTGTGTGTGTGCATAATATGGGTGTCCTATGTGTGTGTGTGTCTTCGTCTAAATTTGGGCTGAGATAGAATGACAGTACGATTGGTTATTGGTCCTGACCTGGCATCTCGGCTTCAGTCACTTTCCCACCACCGTAATGTAGCTTACCAGTGCCTTCCCTAGAAATACTTACCTGGAAATTGTTCTGATGAACTTCCCGCTATGATTTATAAGCTTTATGAATTTAAGCGCAGTACTAGATTGGCGGCAAGGTCTCATCATTTTACAGTTGAAATGACTAAATGTAACCGTAAGTGCTATGCTAACAATTTCTTTTCTCGGCTTCATGCTTTCCAGCCAACTTTGATCTTCAATAATTTAAATGCAATATCAATTGTTATCTACTGTCGCCGCCCCGATTCCTCTTCTTTTATTGTTCTTGTGTCTTAATAATTTTTCTCTTTTTTTTATTCTTTTACATTTAGTAACCACTTGTATCCTAGTAGTTTTACTGCTTTGCATGAGGTAAAATGATTAAAAAAAAATATCTAACAGTTGTTGTCTCATTTCCCAATTCCATTTTTGTGCAGGCTGCGTTCTGTACTTTCTAACCCCACTCCACAAAACAGGACGCACACTTGCAGTGAGTATGTATCATATCCGGCCAGGTAGCGATTTGTTAGTGCCACTCCTCTGCCTCTTGCTTCACTTAAAATAACAATTTCCGAAGTTATGCGTTCATTTAGGATTTGACCAATTCTTTAAATACCCTATTTTTCCGGGGTCACTATTTCTCCAGAGTCGAAGAAGACATTCTTCCCCTCGGAATAAGAATGCATTCTACGAGTTGAAGGTTACTTTTTATTTTATTTTATTTTATTTTATTTTTTTAATTTTATTTTATTTTATTTTATTTTTTTTTTTTTCGAGTCAAAAACTGGAATAAATTCTTGAGGTCGGGACTTCCTTAATAGCGAAATAAGCTGTAAAAAAGTTCATTCACTAAAACTTAATAGAGAATTTCTTTAAAAAAACAAACAAACAAAAAAAAAAAAAAACACGTGCGGGATACCACTGCTCTGAAAATAAAAATTCCTCTCAGAAACCAATCTGAATCATAAACTAGAATATTTCAGACATAGGACAATGACATAAATAAATTGCATTCTCAATGAGTAGAAATGTATTGTCAATTTCAAATATTAAAAAAACTACTTATTTCACTATTATAAATTAAATATAACTTTTATCTTAAACATTTTATTAGAATATTAAAACATTAAAATAATACTAATTAAATATTTTAATTAGCTACACTATTCCGATAAATCAAATATGACTTTTATCCTCAACATTTTATTAAAATATGTCGTAATAAATTGTTAAAATATTACTTATAAATTAAATATGATTTCAATCATCAATACTTTAATTATTAAACGTCATTATTAAGATATTACTTATTACTACAGGGTGAGAATTCCTTATCTGAAATTCTCTGGGACCGGAAGTGCTTCAGTTTTCAGGGTTTCTTTTTCGGATTTTGGAATACAGTCTATTTAATTTGTATATGACATCTATAAAATGGGTCAGCTTGGGAATGGAACCCAAGCATAAACATGATATCCCTTTACATTTCATAACACAGCTTATGCATATACCCTGAGGGTAGTTTTATGTAAATAATGTATAATCTGAAAGTAGTTTTATATAAAATTTTATAAATTTTATATACATACAGATACGCGTAATGACGGTAGTCATGTAATGCGTACACGGATTTTAAGTAGCAAAATTCAGATTTTAAAATAATGTTTTGTACTTTCGGTACGTGTACAAAAAACATGATCACCATTTACAAAATATATAAAAATGCAGGGTTTATTTACATTTTGAATAATATCTTTACTGAGCACGAAACACTTGATAAATAATCTACGAACGAATGTGTTGCTGTGACGATCACTAACAAAA